AGGAATTAGCATAAAATGGGGATATCATTTGGGTTGATATTGGATGAATAAGCAGATGCTCATCATAGAAAGAAATGGGATAAGGGCATTCTAGGAGGAGGACATTCAGAAGAAAGATATGGAAAGTCAGCAAGCACCAGGGCAACTTGTGAAATAACAGGGGTAAAAGTTATTTGCCATGTTAGTACTTGTGAGGTGAGGAGTGGGGAAATGGTAGGAAGATGGAGGAATGGGTCCAGATGGGATTAGAACCAAAGTTCAAGTCATGAGAAGTGTTGAAGTGCATATCAAAAAGTTTGCGTTTTTACCATTGGTAAGGAAGCTGCTCCAAAAATGTAAGAAGCATGCAAATGACATAATTCTAATGGTCAACCTTTGAGCATATCTGGTATCCCTTCAACTAATCCTCATGAAATGACTTTAAGCTGGTGCTTCTAATAATATCTTCATGTTACAATGTACAAAACTAAAACTTAGAAAGGTTAAGTAATTGTTTTAGGTTACAAAACCAGTGAATGTCAGAGCCAGAACATGAAGTTTTGCTTGTAAGCTGTAAACCTATGGAATGGAAGAAGAAGAGACTAGAAGGAAGATATTTCATGGGGAAATTGAAATTTTTTAGGCAGGGGATGAAGACAACTGGCACCAGAGCAGTGGGAGTGTGGATGAGTTAAAGCTCTGGTATGGCATGTTTTGAGGATAGACACCCCTCTACCATTCTAAGAGGCACTAAGAAATCACATTCTATTATTTTACATTCACTCCTTTTTAAATTTTAAAGCACCATTACCGACTTGACCATCTATTTGACTGTTTGCAAAAAGAACATTTGGGGATAAAAATTCATAAAAGTAAAGAAAGTTAAAATGAAAATATGGAAGTCAAATTCTAAAGCAAAAGTCTAAAATCATCTGAGCAACCCCAGTGTTGCCAGAATCATGCATGGTCTGTTAAGTACAGTGATTTTCTCAATCACTTTTTCATGCAACAATCCGCTATTGAGGACCTACTTTATCTCAGGCCTTGTGTGCAGTAATAGGCATATAGTGATGGACTATAATTTGTCAAGAACCAAATGGAGAGTCTTGTGTCTTGGGATATAAGCTCTCCACATTTCTTGGAAAATAATAGTAAAGTAACAGTTACTATTGCAACACATAGGTGTAATGTTGTTGTTAAAGTATTTTAAAAAATCATTCTTTTAATACCTTTTATTCACATCTCATACTCTAGGCAATGTTATTACTAGAAGAAAGGTTCCCATGATGTATTTTGCACATTTATCAAAGAACAGATTGTAGCAAAATACTCTGCCTCTGTGACAATAGCTTTGATTAACACCTATCAAAATAGAACCATCATTTGCTCACTTAAGCATTTGTTAAATAACCCAATCTGCTACTGAATTAGAAGCCAGATGCCTCCCTCTCTGCACGTGCTGAGAGGACAGTTGACACCTCCCTCTTCCACCCTCATCCATGAGTGGCCTTTCCCTACAGACTGTCTCAGGCTTGTTCCAGCCCAAGGTTCTAGGAGTCCATAGATTCAGGTTTTTCTCTGGAGTGTCCTGTGGTATTTCAGTAGTCTGTCCCATGAATCGAGTAAAAGATCCTCTAATTGCACACCCACCAAACTGGTACCAATGAGGGGTGATGCCATATTCTGGTAATCCTTCATCACCCAGGCTGACTCCTCTGTCCTCTGCAATGTAGAGTGAACACCTGGATCAATAGGTCATATTCATAAAAAGGGACCAACTTTGCTGAATCTCATCAGAAGTGATGCTCAACCCCTGACTCATTCTGGGACTAGAACTCTCTATGCTAATATTCATTTGCAGAAGATCCATAATAATTAGGACCTGCTTTCTTATACTTGGCTGAGGTCTCCTTGTCATTTTCATTCAATTTTGTTCTCTAAAGCCAAAGAGAATAAGTTCATCATGACTAAAAATAGTCAAGCCCTCTCCTGTCTGTATCCGGTCTTCTTTTCGTTCAATTAAACAACCAGATTTCCTGTTGTTCTTCAAGTGACACCATTTCCAGAGCCCCTGATTATCCTGAACACTTTCTTCTGAACTCCAGTTCTTCAGTGCTTCTCATTAAAATGTGGTATCAAGAACAGAATTTAGCACAGTATCCTAAAAGAAAGCTGGCCAGGAAAAATTATAGGCAATATGAATTCCTTACCATTCTATGACTAAAATCTAAACTATCCTTTAAAAAAAAAAAATCTGACTGCCGTATTGACAATTTCTAATGAAGAGCGCTTGTCTTAGGGCCTTTGCACTTGCTCTTCTCTCAGTCCATAAAGCTTACCTCTCAGATATTCATGTGGCTTCCTTCTCACTTCATTCCATCCACATGTCACCTCCTAAGTTGTCCCCAAGGAAGCAGGGTTCCCCCTTGACTCTCTTGCCCTCTGAAAGGCTTTGTTATTTTCTCATGGGACTATCATCACCTGATATATAATTATTTTATGTAAGTATTCTCTGTCTCCTTCATAAAATGTGTGCACCATGAGGAAAGAAACTGTTCTCTGCTACATCCCTCTGGTATGTGGAATATAGAAGACAGTCAATAGGTATTTATAGATTAATGAAAACAGTTTTTAGAACCTTTCTCATGAAATGCTGTTGGATTAAGTCTTTGCCCATTTTTCACATGGCAAGTAACTTGTTTTTCTAATGAAAAATTTTAAAAATTAATAATTAATAATGAATTTTATAATATATGAATGATAAATAATATTTATATTATATTAGAATTATATTATATTATAACTATGATGTAACATGAGAAAAATAATAAAAATAAATAATTAAAAATTAACAATTTAATAAGAAAATTTTAAAATAGCTTATATTTATTGCAAATAATTAGTCAATATAGACAAGCAAAAAAAACCCTATTCAAATTCTCACTTCTACACAGAATTTAATATATAATTTTTTAGACTGTCATCATATATATTACTAAAATGAGATACTACTTTACATATTTCAACCTGAGTTATTTTTACTGTGTATTTCCTTAGCAGAAAATATTCTTTTTATTTATTTATTATTTTTTAATTTTTTAAAAGATTTTATTTATTTATTTGACAGACAGAGATCACAAGTAGGCAGAGAGGCAGGCAGAGAGAGAGGAGGAAGCAGGCTCTCCGCTGAGCAGAAGCCCGATGCGAGGCTCGATCCCAGGACCCTGAGATCATGACCTGAGCGGAAGGCAGGAGCTTTAACCCACTGAGCCATCCAGACGCCCCTAGCAGAAAATATTCTTACTAAATAAGACCATATAATATTTTACTATGCAAGTATATCATAATTTAACGTAGCTTACTTAACTGATGCTCATTTATTAGAAATATAGATTATTTCAAATTTATTGTGAACTCAACAGTTTTACATCAGACTGTATTGTAGCTAAGTTTATGGGGCATTCATAACTATTTCCTTGGTATAAGGACTTGTGCATCAAGGAGTATAAAATTTACAAGCAGCTAATAAGTATTACAAATCAATACATGTAACTTTTCAACACTTGAGCATTTTTGGTTTTTAGAGGTAGGGAGGAAGACATTCATGTACCACTAGTAATAGTGTAAACTGACATGGTATTTTCTGGATGATGATTTAAATTATACCCACCAACCAAGGAAAACAACAATAAGTTTTAATTTCCCTCTTTGGTATGTAAAATTTATAAACTTTTCCCATTGGCCTAAAGGAAAAATCAAATACATTTTTTTTAAAGTTTTGTTCCTTCTGTCCTGTTGAACTTTTTTATATTTTTGAGTCCTCAGCCTACATCTGAAATAGGAGTCACTAAGCTGTGTGCATTTGATGAGTAAATTTTCTGAGTCTTTATTTGCAACAAATAGATTATAATGTTTTGAACAAGATAAGCAAACCACAAAGTTACTTGTAAACCAGTAAGCTCCTTGTTAGGATTAAAAAAAAAAATGTTTTAGGGGGCCTGGGTGGCTCAGTGAGTTAAGCATTTGCCTTTGGCTCAGGTCATGATCCCAGCGCCATGGAATCCAGTCCCATATTGGGCTCCCTGCTCAGTGGGGAGTCTGCTTCTCCCTCTGCCTCCCTCTCTGTCTCTCATGAATAAGTAAAAATCTTAAAAAAAAATTTTTTTGTTTGTTTTAATAAAGACTGATGGAGAAAAAGGAAGTGAATTTCAGTAGGCAGGTACCAAAAAAAAAAGAGCTTCTAAAGGAATTTAAAGCAAAGTAAAATATAAAGGAAGGCTAAATAGCTACAATCATCTGTTCCAGTGAGGGGTCCCAAGCACCCTTACTGACATTTCTAAATCGTGCCCTTGGCTGTTGAAGCACTTCTGTAAGGCAAATGCTGATCCCTATCTTCATTGAGGATAAAAGAAGACACTCAAAGATCAAGGTTTTTTTTTTTTTCTTTTTTTTTTTCATTTTAAACAAGAAGTTTATTTAAGCAACAAGACGCTTGACTTGAAGGGAAAACTATCTAGGATTCATTTCTTTTAGAGTAATTTATCCCTACTTAAAGACAGATTGCCCTACATGTAACAGCTACGTACAAAAAAGTTATAAAATTGTCCTTGGTTTTACAATGATAAATGAAAAACATTAAAATTCTCCAATCGAACAAGGTATGCAAGGATTTTTATGTTGTTCTTTTTTTTTGTTAAACAGTGAGAGCAAAATAACTTACTGGAATATAAAGATAAGAGCTGACTGAGCATGCCACTAATGGAGAGAGGGGGTATTTTCACAGAAGCAGTATTTTCCCCCAACCCATCTCCATTTGATGTCGATCAAAACATACCATTGGCCATTTAGTTAAAAAAAATGCAATATGCTTGTGCACATACACAGTTACTTTATGTACAATAAAGGAATGGGGAAGGGGAAAATGAAAGAATAGAGAAAACTATACTGTAGTAGTCAGGATGTGGTGGAACCAAATTGCGGCTAAGTGAGAATGTCTTCTTGGTCTGGAGGAAGAGGGTTCCGGAGTAAAGTAGCAGGCTCCCTTTTAGTAGACACCTCCTGTCTGCTGCTGGAACACATCAATTGTATCTTCATCCTCCATTTCCAACTGTGCAGGTGTGTCTGTTTCATTGATTGGCTGCCCATCAAATCGGAATCTGATCTGCCTCATTGACAAACCCTGTCGTTCACAATAGGCTTTCATTAGTTTACTAAGTGGTGTATGCCTCTTAATCTTAAACTGCACCACAGAACCATCCTGCCCCGCCACCTTCAAATTAATATGATCGTTGTTCTCAGTCTTGACTCCTTCCTTGGGCTTTTCGTCGGCCATGGCGAGCGCCGGAGTCTCCTCAGCTGCCGCTTCACAAAAGAGGTACCAGGTCCGCACCGAACGAGCACACAAGCAGCACCAGGAGCGGCAGAAGAAGGAGGCGGCAGCGGTGGAGGAGGGAGAGGAAAGATCAAGGTTTTGATAAGAGAGAACTCTTTAACAACACAGAAATTCAAGTATTAGAATATTCTGCTAGTGGAGATTATGTAATTCTTATCGTTAAGAAATTAAATAAATTAATTAAAACAGTTAGCTAAGACTGCATAGCCACCTCATGTCCCCGTTACTCTCCACCCCCCCCCCAAAAATGGCCCATAGAGACTTAAAATAGTAACTTGTCATTTTTGACAGCCTACAGGTCTGGATCAGGACTGCTTATTGGCTTGCTTATTTGTCTGTAAGTAGCCCATGGGTTTATTGGGGACTGTCTAGTTTAGGGGTTTCTATGCTGGGATGATTCAGTTCTGCATCACAGGATCCCCAACAGACTCACACAGACTTCTTCTCAAGGAGGAAGAAGGGTTCAAGAGAGGAGCAGAAATATACAAGCACTGTTGTGACATTCCGTGTGCTTCATTTGTTAATGCCCAATGTTGATGGCAAGTCACATGCCAAGCTAGTCAGTGAGGATGTCGATGACCACAGACTAGGATACAGGAGAATGTAAAAAACAAAAACAAAAACAAAACCACCTGGGGCTATTAATGTTTCAGTCATTCACGTGGGAATGTCTAGTAAAATCTCTGGGTCAAAGGAGGCCCCCAGTGGTTATTAATGATCTGGGTCAATAAGAACAATGTACCTTGCTGGCTCAGGCAGAGTCATATCTGAAAGCAGAATGACTGTTTGAGAGATCATCTGAGGTTATGACTCTATAACCTGGGACTTAGCTTTTCTTACTACACAAGAGTAACGAGATGGATGTATATTTTTATAATAGTAATATATTATGGCCCAATTTTAGCATCTTATAATGGGCTATATTGATAACAGATATTCTTAATGATCTTATTTTATCTTAAATACTAGCCTCCTATATAGTGTATATTTATTTCTGTGTTTATTTGGCTACATTAGAAGGTTTAAAAAAAAAAAAGGATATAGCTGCCGAATACCATGAAATGCACTCTCTTCAATTTTGCCTAAATTGTTACATGTGGATCTCAACAGTGGGTAATATCTGCTAAGAATATATCCAGTATAAATAAATGTAGGATTCCACAGTGGGTGAAAGAACACCCAAAGAAGATCTATAAATAACGTGTCTGAAAAGCAATGTGTTAGGAAAAGCCAAAGAGATAGTTGTTAACTAAACACATTTTAAAAATTTCCCAACATGGATGTAAAAACAAACCGGAAGTATTCTTGAAGAGATATGCATGTGTATGGGGGATAAAGAAGAGCTGACTTTTCTCCCTTGCCAGGCTTTAGTTAAACGGTGGGTGAATTTGACCCGAGAACATGGTCGTTATTAATCTGGACTTGGTGAAACTGAGGACATGGTCGTTATTAATCTGGACTTGGTGAAACTGGAACACTGTTGGTGGAACGAGAAGAAATACAAGGAAATTCATCAGATCCTCTGGGATCCAAAAGGATTGCTCTATACCTGCCTCAGTCTTACAGCTGCCTCTATGGCTGTTTGCACCATAAATACAGCTGCCTCCTCTCTCTGTGTGTGCCCTTGGGCATCATAATGATAATTAAAATATGCCCATTGATTTCTACTACCCTTGAAAAAGTCATTTTTGTTGGAGTCAGGTCACATAATATTATTCTCATTTTATACTTGAGGGAATGGAAGATGAGATAGGCTCGAGTGAATTGCTCAAGATACATAGGTTGCTGGGGCCTCTTCCTAATCCCAGGTCAAGGCTTTCCTTCCTACACTTTACTCTGTTCCTACATGGTTCAGGGTCACAATCATCCTGCTCCTTGTGACGGCACATGATTGGCTTCCCTGGTCAATTTACAAGAGGGAAGCGGAGGTTCAGAAGAACAAGCAAGAGATCACTGAATAAATATACTGAGAAAAGAAGCACAAGATCAAGGAAGGAAATGTTATAGGAATTGAAAACAGCTGTATTTCTTTGATGAGTTCATTTGATCTGTACAATATTCTGAAGCATGATTTGGCAGATGTTTGATGGCGATACAGATTAGCACCCATGGTTTAACACTTACACTTTTATATATTGACGTTGATTGTTGGGCTTCCGCAAATATTTGGTATCGTGATTCTGAATCTGAATTTAAATTAAGAAATTCAAGAGTGCATTTTAAAGAGTAGGTCAAGAATGATGAATCCTTTTAGGGCTGGTTCTCGTGACTCCGGTTGGTCAGGTGGTCTGTGAGTAGCTTATGGGTCAGAAACCCTGAATGTGCACACGGGGGCGGACGCGCCCTCAGCGAGTCTGCGCAGAACAGGCGCTGCGCCAGAGTGAGGTCAGCGTGGCATTTGGCATTCGCTCCCAACTCCCTAGAGGGATTAGAGCCGTTGAAACACAATATGTTCCCTGAAAACTGGCTCTGAGAACAGAAACTGTCATCCCAATTATGTCACAGAAATCGGGGACCGTGCTCATCACCAAAGCCAGTAACAACACTCAAGAACACATAGTGGCGAGTTGACTTTAATCATCTTTACATCTCAGGTTTGGACACTCGAGATGTCCCTTCACCCAATCCTAGAAAACACTGGGCAAAGGAGAAAAAAAAAAAAAAAAAAAAAAAAAAAGCATCCCACTTGACTAAGGAAAGAAGAAAGCCTTTCCAGGCTTAGCCCCCTATGTTTTGCAGATTCTGCTCCAACATACTGTAGAACAGTCTTTGTCGGTATTTTACCAAAAGTAATAAATGGATTCACTAGGATTGATCACATTTTTCCGGAAAAGGATCACGTCCTTTTCTGAGTCACGGATATATTTTGTCCCTCCTAATCACTTACTCCTCTTATCGTTCTTCAAATCATTTGCCCAAGACCACTCAGCTTGTAATAAATACACTCTGACTTTCCCTAACCTTATATTCTCATGCTGATCTAGGAAACTGGCAGGAAAGGATGAGGGAAAGAAATTATTCTCCTCCCAATGAGAGACAGAGACAACTCTTACATAACACTTACCATGTGCCCAGCACTGTTGGAAGTGTTTACATGCATCAACTCCTTCAGTCCTCTTAACAGATCTACCCCCAATTTACTACTACTGTCTCCCCTTTGCAGGAAACTGAGGAACAGAGAGTAGAAGTGAGGTATCCAACTTAGCACAGATAGTTAAGTGACAAGTCTGGGATTTATCTCAGTGTCTATCCACTGAGAAAGGTCTCTTCTTGACATTTTTGCTATTCTTTTTCTTAGGTGAACTGGACAAGTCACCCAGAAATTTTTCTACTTAGTGCCTTTGCTCAGGCCCCTTTCTTCTGGAATGTCCTTCCTCAGATTCTCTGCCTATTGAGGTCAAGTTCAATTGTTATCTCCTCTGTGAAGCCTTATCTAAAGTTCTTCCTAGCCTGTCTAATTTAATTCTTCCTAGCTTCACTGTTCTTTTGTCTCCTCTGTCATAACATTTGTCCTTTGGTGTTTTGTTACTCTCTACTCGTCTCTCCCTACAAAAGTATAGTCTGCTTATTGAGGAAGATGGCTACCATGTCATTTTTTTTTATATTTGTATATCCACAGTATCTCAGAGAATACGTTGTACCTAGTAAAGATTATGTATTGTATCGGACGTGATTGAACGAAATGCTTGGAGATGTTTATTGATATATAAGAATAGGTTTTATGTTTCCTTTAACTCTATTTTATTTAATGTCATTCCCTGACGTAATAGGATGTGTTTTTATTGGGTAATTGTTAGGCACTCTAATGACTCTAGGCATATGAGTCTCTGATTATTTTAAAGCTCAATTGAGGAGCACCTGTGTAGCTTAGTTGGTTAAGAGTCTGTCTCTTGGGGCGCCTAGGTGGCTCAGTGGGTTAAAGCCTCTGCCTTCGGCTCGGGTGGTGGTCCCAGGGTCCTGGGATCAGGCCCCACATCGGGCTCTCTGCTCAGCAGGGAGCCTGCTTCCTCCTCTCTTCTCCCTGCCTATCTCTCTGACTAGTTGCAATCTCTGTCTATCAAATAAATAAATAAAATCTTAAAAAAAAAAAGTCTGTCTCTTGATTTCAGCAGAGGTCATGATCTCAGGGTCCTGGGATCAAGCCTTTCAATGGGTTCTGTGCTCAGGAGGGAGTCTGCTTCTCTCTCTCCCTCTGCTCCTCCCTCTGCTCCTCCCCTTGCTCGCATTCTCTCTCTCTCTCTCACTCTCACTCTCTCTCTCACAAAGAAATAAAATCTTTAAAAAAAAATACCTTCAATTGAAATGAAAGAATAGACAACCTTGACTTAGGTGATTTTAGGTAGCTTCTTTGATCTTGAGACTGTTGTTGTTGAATCTTAATTAGTTATCATAAATCAGCAGTGGCCTGTGGGTTTTTAATGGTTAAATAAATGGTTTGTTGGAGTTCTTTTATGAACCTCACAGAGTATCTACATTCGCCATATTTCATTGGATGTCATTATTTTACAGTAATTGCTTAATCTGAAATAATGACATTATATGCAAATTATATGAGACCCCGTCCATTGATGTTTCTCTGAACACCTAGGGTATTAGACTTCTTTTAATTATTTTTCTCTGCACCACAGTTTTCACTCTTTTCTCTGCTACTGCTCTGGGTATTCATGGCTGAAAAAGTCAATTATTAAAGGGAAACATGCTCCTTTTGTGCATTTCCTGAATGTCTCAACAATCTCATTAATTGATGAGTGACTTGTAGAAATATTTAACTCATCCTGTTTGACAGATGTCATATGCTCAACAAATATAATGAACATGCTCTTTGGTACTGAGAAGACATGTTTGCAAGGGTTTTGCTCTGATTTCAGCACCGCTAGGGGTGAGAGATTTCTGTTTTAATCACAGCCATGTTTTGGCTCAAAAGTGTTGAATTGTTTGACCTTGATAGCCAGCTCCACGGAATACACTTTCAAGGTAGAAAAAGAAAAAGAAAGATTTGCATCAGGTCAAGGTTAATTATAGCTGGTATTTGCTTAATAATTCGTCTCCTTACCATTCTG